GATGGAACGCATACTCTTATCAGCATCCTGCAAAGAAAATTGCCAATACTGAAGATTCTCACTACAACGAACAAGATGGAAATAAAAGTGAAGCAAAGATTACCTCATCAATAATCTTGGAAGATGGCATATCCTCAGCCAAGTCTGCCACCTGTGGCTCCACCATTCGCGAGGACTTCCCCTTATCTGAGCGAGAAGATGTTGCCACAACGGGCAGACTCATAGGAGCATCTGTAGAACTCATAAGCAACAAATCAGAAACCAATAGCACGAGCAAAGGTAAAGCATCAAAAAACTGAATTACCTTCTGCTTCAATGTTTGGGGGGTTGACGCCCTGGGAAGAAGGTGGCTCACCCATTGGTTGTGATGAGGATTCTGGGACTGAAGATGTCTCTTTAAGCGCAGTCCCTTCATCAGCTGATTTGGATGAAGCAGCCTCAGCGGAGGATGATGGAGCAGGAGCTGCCGATACCAAAGCCTTTAAAGGAGAGGCTGAACTTTTCTGAGAAGTCCAAATAAATCATCAACACACAGAAAAGTTTCAAGTATGGAAAAGTATGCTTGTGAGTAAACCAATTTAATTACCTTCCTCCTGATGATAAGAGGGGTATCATCATCATCATCATCAACATCATCCTCCAGAATGGGAGATGCTGAGGCTAGCCGTTTGCGGCTTAGGGCACTTTTGGCTGCAGTAGGCTTGGTAGGGAGAGAAGAAGATGGACGAGCAGACTGTTTAGCGCGACGAGGAGGAGAAGGACTCCGGATGGACAAAGGAGTGACTAAAACAGGAGGAGGGAAAGAAATTATCGGCTAGTCCAGTGAATGAAAGGCACGATTGGCATCAGTCGCAAACAATCCGTGCTTCACTGACGGCCAGAGCTGTTCAAAAAGGGGATGGATGGCATGGCTAGAATTGTAGGGGGCTAATGAAAAATGGCTCGTCAAAAGAAGATTGCGAGCATTTATAACCTCTGCCTCTGCCTCCGCCTTATTAATAATATGGAAACGGTCTATCAAGTTTATTGAATAACAAGGAGGAACATGCCAGGTTTGGCCGAAACCAAGTTGACGAGCAAAAAATTGGGGAGCATATATTTCTACCCCTGCCTTGGCATTGGTCTCAGTCAAAATATCATGAAATAACTCCCTCTCGGTTAAAAACTGGATCCAAATGAGCAAAGAGGTGCTCGCGCTGTCTATAGTAGAGGGAGGATGCACATAGTCTGGAGTCAAAAAGGGAGGAAAAGGAAAGAAGGAAGGGATTGAATCCAAAGAATAAAAGAATGAAAAAATGTCCCTTCTAAACATATTTGCAGGAGACAGGGGCTCAATGGCTAGCCCATAACAGCTAGTAGAAGGACGAGAAATTGATGGAGCACCAAACAATGGAAAATAGGATCTCAACCATATTTGAGTGAACCAAAGAGGTCCACTGTCAGTGGGAGATGCACCATTCTTCAATTGAGTTTGAAGAGAAGTCATGCCTCTATAGAGGGCAGCCAAAAAGAAAGAACATAAATTCAGAGGCCTGCCACGCTCCAATTCGTGCGCTATGGGTAAATAGCTCAGGGAGGGCTTTATGCTTGGCACACATAAAACATATTTACAAAGTTAAACCAGAAGAAAGGCCACTCGCTCAGTATAAGAAGGCTCAGCGCTTGAATGGTTATGAAGAGTTTGCAGGCTTGAATAAGACTCGGTGAAGGTTTTACCAAACTTTGGGGTGCCACCAGAAACCAAGATACCAGGAAAAATGGTATCGCCCAAAGGTGGCAGATTCACTAGGGCCCCAACATCCCTTAAAGTAATAGACATGGGGCCAAGAGGGAAAACAAATGTATTATATTCAGAAGACCAAAAACTTAAAGCGATCGAAAAAAGTGCTGAATCAAAAGTAGAGGGTTGAAGAGAGATTTCTAACAAATTAGAAATCCTAACATTATCAAAAAGCGCCTTAGTAGGACCATGGTCCACAAGGCGAGCATGCCACCTACCGAAAATTACGTCAGATTTGGGCCAAGTGCGAATACCTCTTTCGCGAAGTGGCCCCAGCAGCAGAGAGTTTAGAAATGGAGGGCCTTGAGTACAAGGAAACAGCTAGCCCACCGCCGCTTGTTCGACTGCCTCTGCATTGTTGAAGAAAGGACCTAGGTAGAACTCATTGAGTTCGACATTGGCAGATGCGAGAAAGTTCGGAGTTATGTATGGACGATTAAGGGGTTTCTAAAAGTCTTCAAAAGTAAAGGAGTCGCCAGATTGAGATTGTGAAGTAGCCATTAGGGACGAAATGAGTTTTTTCAGAGTTACGTAGCAGGGAAGTAAAGAGATTAACAGTAGAAATGTGAGAGAGAAGCGCGAAAAAGTGAGGCGTGATTTAATGGTGCAGTGAAATGGCGTATTTGGGGGTTATAAGGGTTTGCAAAACGTCGCACCTTTTCAAAGTTGTGGAAGAAAACAATTATTGAAATTCTTAGGAACTTCGAATGTTGCTGGAAACACAAAAGTAAATATGACAAAATTTAATAATTGGTATTAATTCTGCCATATTGGAGGGTAATTGTTGACACATAAAAATCGAACGGCCCAAAGAATGAAGCCCAATTAGAGGATCCCCAAATCAGATAGCCCAAAGAATGAAACCTAATCAGACAATTTAGAATGAAGGCCCAAATAGAGAGGCCCGTGAACGCGGTAACACCATCGTCCAAGCTTGCAAGTCGCCCAGGATCTGAGCGAATGAAATGCCATGCAGTCGCCCAGAGCTACTACTCTATTTTCGCCCAAACCTTCGAGTCGTCCAAAGTCTTAGCAAACATGAAGTGTTATTGTTATCAAGAAGCGCAGCTATCAAAGCAGTTATTAAGCAGCCCTATCACGTTCCACGATTCAAGGAATTCAATCGAAAACAGTTGAACGACAAAGAGTAATGGCAACAGTTAAAAAGGCAGTTCCATGACAAGTTGGTCATTACGAGGAAAGTGAACAGTTATAAAACGATTAAGTAGTTTTTAGGATGTTAATCACAAAGAGATCATCCAAGGAGTATAAAAGGAAGAAAAAACATAGAGCAAAATACCCCGAATCAAAAAACTCTCGAACAGAGAACATGTAATTTTAAATTTCTTAGTTTAGATTTAAACACTTCTTTCAGTAACTCGTGTGCTTGCGCCCCTTGGAGGCATTCTGTTTTTACTTTCCGATTGTAAAGACATCGCCAATAAAGAACACCCATTTTTGGGATTTTGTCTCAAGATATTTGTCCCTTACACAATCGTCTGATCCCTTTTTAATTGTTAGCGACGAACCCGCGCGAAACAGCCACCAAATTTTACTCTTTTTTTTTTTTTCACGATACATGACACTCAGGCAGACGTGCTCTCACCAAACCTCAAACTTCGTATCACTTATAGTACTAATCTTAAAATTTTATGATTTACTTTACCGTGCACTACAATACTCAACCATTCATTTTAACAGGAATATGCAAGATATCATGGGATAGATTTAGCATTTCAAGAATTGAAAAGAAAAGAAAAAAATCCCATGTTTTGGCATTTAATCTATGTGGTAGTGAGTATCACACGTGGTAGATTACATCACTGAACTAAATAAGTAATGAATAGTGACGCGTATGATTTTCAGTTAAAAACCTAAGGTCATTTTATTTATTATCAACGTGCAATTTGGAGCGTCCTATCTCCTCTTTGAAGGCCTTTATATACCATGCTCATATGCCTCCCCCAATTCAATGTTCAAAACAATCTTCTGTCAAGATTCTCTCTCTTCCACCCCGCCCCCTCCAGTTTCTCTCTCTCTCTCTCTCTAAAAACACCAAAATCTATCAAAAAAATGGAGCAAAATCTACCAATTATAGCCAAGAAAATATGGAACATAATGCGTGTGATGTTTTTCATGTTGAGAAAAGGCATATCAAAGGGGAAATTATTGGCTGATCTTAACGTGATGATGAAACGTGGCAAAATTGCCGGCAAGGCAATTCAAAATCTCATGTTCCACCAATGGTCCGCCGCCTCCGGCCGCCGCCTACACAACCGCAATCTGTCGTTCCCTGTCTCAGTCACTGAATACGAGTTCAGTTGCAGTAACAGCCCGGCTTATCCCAATTTCCATATTCCCTTTAATCTCAACAAGCTCAAACAGAGCATCCACCGCCGCGTCCACGCGCCACCCATGGCCAACGATTTTGCGACTGCAAATGAGTTGGTGAAAGCCTTGGAGATGCTCCACAGCGAGGCAGCGTCACCGGCCTTGCCAGGTTTCGGGAAGAGCCCTATGGTGAGGCAACTCAGGATTACTGATTCTCCATTTCCATTGAGGGATACTGAAGAGGATAATCATGTAGATGAAGCTGCTGAAAAGTTCATTATGAAGTTCTATAAGGATTTGAAAAAGCAAAATGGAATTGCTTATTTTGGATAATCTTGAATAAGTAAATTTGATTATAAGTTGGTTTCAGATTAATCTGGTAGTGCCGGAATTTTCATGCATTCGAGGCCACGCAGAAATGATAAATCCAGGTCCTTCGATGAGCATGAGAAATCGAGAATCAGTGAAGGGATCTTTCCATTAATTATGAATAAGAATGAACTGTGTTCTAGAAACTTTATGAGAAAAATAATGTAATGAATGTTATGAATATTCCTTGTGCTACCAGAAAAAGAACATTTATAATAATTTTGTTGACAATATTGGAGTCTTTTTTTCAAGTTGAGCAATTTAAATTACTTTTCAAAGGACTCAACAACTGGTAGTGTTACTCCGAGAGCCAACTAGCCCATGTCCTAAAGAAAAAGCAAGAAGTCGACAAAGTTAAAGTCTGAGGTAAATTGTACCTTGCCTGGGGGGCTAGTTCTCACTCGAAGGCACTAGTGCAAGAGCCTAATAAAAAATGTGACTTAATGGGCAAAACATCACCAACGAATGTTATCGGCCAGAAGCACGATTGAATTATTGACGAATTTATAAATAAATTAGATTTTACTATTACCAACTGAATAATCGAGTGAGACTCGATCGAGTCTTGCGGCAACAAAGTCCAGCACATTCCAAGAAGGAAGCTTAGTCGAAAAATGTCCAAGTTGACAAAGTCAACACTGCTTGAGACTAGCTTGACAAAGCCAACATGAGTCATTAAGATGCTTAGCTAAGTAAGATCTTCTTTTGTATATGGTTAGCACCTTTTCCAGTTTGCAGTTTTGACAAAATGTGTAAAGAAGAAATTAGAAAAGTATTACCTCTAACAAAAATTTTAATGTTTTCTAACTTAAATTTCTTCAATTCTTTCTTATAGTGTTAATTAATACTATACCTAGTCCTTGTCTGATCCCCATTATTTGTAAAATACATTTTTTTCTTTCTTCTATTCAACCATACATTTTTCAATATATACGCAAACCCAAATTTTTATTTTTTAATTATATATATTTTACATCAATTTACTATTTTAAAATGTATTTTTAGTAAAAAAAAAATGAGGCTCAAACAGGCTCGTTAATAATTTTTGCATTTTCTTATATTTATATTTATACTGCTTTAGAGTGCCACTGGGACAAAGGCACTCATTGACCTGGCCAGACTCCTTTATGGGAAAGCTGATATTGAGATCCTCCTTTATCCAAAGTGCATCAACTTGATTTTAACAGTTATATTTGATTATTTTATTTAAAATTGAATCAACTTATTTAATTTGTTCACTTTTCATTTTTCTTTTCTTTTTCCTTTTATTTTATACGACGTTTTGGAAAGAAACTTCACTTCTTTCTATATGGGTGTCGACTTAGTTAACAACTTAACAAAAGATGTTAAGAAATTGCTTTGTTTTATTTCTAAATAATTAATATTTATTTCTTCAAATTCTTTCTGGTCAAGTTTGGCTTTACAGTTTTATTCGTCTTAAGATATAACAACTTGTTAAGCCCCTGCTTCATATATATTCTTTAAAATTTATTTTTTTCCAAACTTATTTTCAGTTATACATTCTTCAAATAAAATAATTTTAATATTTTACATAGATCCATAATTTTTTTCTATTTTTTAATCATATATTCTCTAAAAAATTCAATTTCCACATAAATCTATTTTTCAAGAAATTTACATATAAATAGACCTATATTTGAACCTTTAGTGTATTTTTACATGAGAAAGTTGGAATCTTTTGCAATGTCTTTAGACTCAGGCTTTGAAATAAGTAAAGAAAGAAAATGATTCACCAACAATGTTATGGTGATCGAATTTTTTTGACATAATGGCTGATCGATACTCACAATGTGGGAAGGGACCACATGTGCTACGAGAGGATGTCACCCTTTATGTCAAAAAAAATTCGCTGGTCAAAGACTTAAATGGAGTACTCAAATTAAAGGTTAATTTTATTTTTTTTAATTATTAAATATTCAGATATACACACGCACCTTAAAAATTTGTAATCATAATTTAATTTTCATCAATATAGAAAGTAAACACAGTAATAATAACTAAATAATAAACTTTGGGACGTAAAAGATATTCACAATAATATAGGCTATAGCATATGATATATCAAAGTGGAATCACTTCTTAACAAACATTTTTCTTTAGAATAAAATTGTACTAAAAACAAAAAGAAATAAATAAATAAATTCTACATACATAATGGGCTTGGGATCACATTTTTATTACATCAATATTCAACAAATGTTACGTAATCGACCATCAAAGTATGATCTTATAAAGTGAATTACAAATATAACTTAGAGAAAGCAGATTCAAATTTGTTTAGTCGATCGTTGTCACGCAATAAATGATGTTCTTACAAAGCAAATTTCAAATGTGACCTAGAGAAATTACTTTATATAAAATAAGGTTGTAATTTCTTGTGGGCAACTTAGTTGAAGGATAAAAGTAATTAACTTTATGCAGTAATGCAGATACAAATGAAGAATTAAAAGCCAAAAGTTCAGGTGATTTGTTAGATGAAAGTGTGAAAATGAGGAAATTGCAAGACACTTGTTCTTTATGAACTTGCTTTTCCATTCTTTAACGCCTTTGGACTGTCGTGTCTGTGTGTTAGTTCCATTACGATATACATTGCGGCTTTTGAGAAAGCAACCTCTTTTTTTCTTTAAAAAAAGAGTATTTAAAGATATTTTATATAAAGTAAGCTAAAATTTACTCGTTGAAAAGTAACTTAAAAATTATGTTTGTCAAATAAATAACTTATATATAGATTTAACTTATTTTGAAATACAGCCTAAGAACATTTCCAAAAGTTTCTCTATTTTGAAAGTATACTCTATCATTTGGAGAGTATTTATGAATTTAGAAAGTTAAAATTTTGAAGTCCTCCAACTTGCTATTTATGTTTAGATGGTATTTGGAAGACATTTTTATGTAAAAATGTATTTACGTATAATATTATTTTAATAAAGAATGTGCGGTTGAAAAGAAGAGAGAGAAAAATGCATTTTGAAAAAATGGTTACCAAACAGGACCTTAACACTTAATTTTGCTATTCTCAAAAATAATTATTACTTTTCTATATCTTTCACTTTAACTAGCTTTCTTTGAATTTTTCATTATTTTCTATATTAAAAATTGAAATACTTTGAATGCATTTAATTAGAGAGACTGAGAACTCACTCTCTAAATTAAAATGTTAATTTAATGAGTCTCTTGGAACATGATTTTGAGGGCGCTCCATATTGTAAAATTGATTTTTGATGGAATCCCTAGATTTTACTGCGTCCGAGAAAGATTAAACTAGGTCGAAAATCTCGAGGACGATAGCTCTGAAAAGACAAATTGCCCATTTTTTCTATCATCTCGAAAGAAATACGATCGATATGTCATTAGGAAAATGGAGCCCAGGGCAAAAAGAAAATGCATGTTGGTCGACGCATCATTGCATCCAGAAAACTCACAAACCAAGGTTCTGCGTGATGCATTATTGCATGCAGAGTTCCAAAACTTAAGAGCTTATAAAATAATTGAGCTCGAAGAGTTCAATTGGAGCAATACAAAAAGGAAACTTTTAAAAAAGTTCAATTTCTTTTATGTTAATGTATAAAGCATACTATCAAAAGATCCAATCCAAAAACTCCAATTTCAAAAAGAAAAAAGATGGCTCGCACAAATTATTTACATGGAATTAAAGTTTATGTTTCCACGAATTAAACTACTTTGCCCGAAAAAGCTTGACAAAATGGTTGATATCATTTCATTTGCGCAATAGTCTCGTGTGAATAAAAAAGTAAAAATCATTTGTTACAAAATGCATGTACTAATTTAGTTATAAGTAAACTTAGATATAAGTAATTATTTTAAGCTAACATGCACTATATATATATAATTTTTATTTTTTTTAACTTTTTCAAAAACAAAAATCATTTGTTACAAAATGCATGTACTAATTTAGTTATAAGTAAACTTAGATATAAGTAATTATTTTAAGCTAACATGCACTATATATATATAATTTTTATTTTTTTTAACTTTTTCAAAAACAAAAATCATTTGTTACAAAATGCATGTACTAATTTAGTTATAAGTAAACTTAGATATAAGTAATTATTTTAAGCTAACATGCACAATGCGTTAAATGTATGCTAAATCCAAAAACTATAACTAAAAATAAATTATATAGGCACCCTAAAGTCACATCATAGCTTATTGCACTTGAACTATGATTAATTAAACTTTTAAAAATCAATAATTCAAGCTGTTCACGTAATTATATCAACCCTCAAGTCAACACTCCTATTTTACTGAAAATATCTAGTTATAAATTAACAGTATAATGCATGATTGGATCGAACTTTCCAACAAAGACGTGTTAATTAATTTATTTACATAAGTCCCATGTTTCACGTCCTTAAGATCGCAATCAATGAAATTTAATGTATGTTTGTCTATATATTTAAGTCGCGGCACTTGACGATTCAACGGACTATAATGAAAACGATAATATTTTTTCTTTTCAATTTTGAGAAATGAATATATGTTACTTTGGTCAAAGAATGCGAATCACCATCAATGTTTGATTCGATAACTGATTTAATTGAAAAGTATGATAGCGTGTTCACTTTTATATCGTGGTTTACGTAGATTTTTATTATACGTATAAAAGATAGAACATTTTTGCCAGTAATTATATGTGTGCGCATAATGGGCTACAAGTTTTGTTTAGCAATTAGGTTAATTAAATAAAATAAGACGACTTTAAAACAGAAACAAAAAGGGAAGTCAAGAAAAAGCGATTGTGGGTGGAGGTTAGTGCTCAATTATTGCACTCTTAAAGCGCACAAATCAAAAGTGTCTCTTTTTCTTTATGTTATATACATACTTCCAATGATTTATTTTGACAAAGATATTAATAACCATACACTTTGTGACATGGCTAGGGAAAAAAGGGGTAAAAATAAAAAACCTCTAAATCTACTAGTCGATTTGATTAGTAGTGTTCTTTGAAATTGATGGTATTAATCCATGTTCGATTGTGATTTAACACAAATTGAAATGTGTGTATTGTTTGCTTGTCTATTGTTTCTTTATTTCAATGCTACGATTAGCGGCAATCCGAGTACAAGATGGCTTGCTTGAAGAAAATGAGGTCCATGTGAGTCGACGAGTGGAACGGACGAGAAAAATCAATTTTGGCTCTCCTCACTTAACATGCCTAACTACGGTGTAGTCCAATCCATACGCTCAATAT